ACTGCCCTCTCTTTGTTACTCCACCCAATACAGGAATGTATTTTCTCCTACATTGTATAATGCCATCAATGCACTATCATGGTTTTGCCATCTTTAAATCAGAACCACTTTTTTAATAAAAAAAACTCCAGCATTGCCAGAATGAATACTAATATAAACAAATCAGTTTAGTGCCTGAAGTAGTAATAATAAATATTGAAGCTGTAATGTAACACTCAGCATTGCGAGGTTATTTTCTAATTTTTGGTACAAGAGAGGCTGATGAAAGGAGGAAAAAAAAAAAAAAAAGCTTACACTTCTTTGTTTCTACACTTCCACAATCCCACATACAATTGATATTGCATGACAGTTTGGGATAAAGATTGATTTCTGGAGATCATTCTATGCAAAATTGCTACTTTAAATGACATCTACTTTAAATCCCAGCTCATTAGTTGTTTTACCTCTTGAGAAGAATCACACTGAAGGCACTTAATAGCTTCTACAGTTTTCCTGTCCAGTTCATGACTCTCCTTATCGTTATGACACAACCTGCAGTTGTAGTATTTTTTACAACAAGGGGCCTGTGAAAACAAGCACAATAATAAAGTATTAAATAAATGTAATTCTTATTTCTTTTTAACCCTCTGACTCCCATGATCTCACTACTACTTCTCCTTACTATCTACCATACAGTTCTTGTCATGTTGGTTTGGAGAATTTGGTGTTGGATCAAGATATAATCCCCTAATTGATATTTTTCTGTTTTCTCATCACTCGTCTGCTTGATATTGTATTGATACTGTAAGGAGAAATTCTGTCTTGGTCACTCATAGGAGGTAAAGGTTTAATAAACTCAAGATTTTAGAAGTAACAAATAAAGGTAAAGGTTGGGGTTAGGATTACTGTAATTTCCTTCCAATTACCTGCGTGGCAGATTTCCTGCATCGGTCAATTTTTGAAATAATGAGAAAAAAATTTCAACAGATTACCTGCACTGGCAGATAATCTGCACCCAAAAACAAAAGAAAATTGTTGACTCACACAAAGTTCCTTCATTGTTTTTGTTGACATGATATCCTTTAGCGTGTAATTAATAAATTTTCACACTTTTTCTCTTCGCTGTTTCATTGAGAATGATACCAATTGTAAGAATCTGTTCTAAAAAAATTGATATCTCGAGATCTACTAAGTCTGAGAAATCTTGAAACAGGGAAATACTTGGTAAAATTTCTGCACAGCCCCATACTACATTATGCATTCAGTTCTTAGATATAGAAAATAATGAAAAAAACAATACATTGGCATTGGGAAAACAGATTTGTTTTACAACAGTATGGGGCTGTGTGGAAATTTTACCAAATACTCCTTAGCTCAGGGCAGTGCTAGCTAAGAAAATTTCACTGATGCGTTGAATATTCTGTTGTGGTATTTAATTATGAAATGAACATGTTGACATCATTTTCTGTGTGAATTACCCTGAAGCCAGTTTTTTCATAATAGTTGAATTCTTTTATTTTCAAGTTCACTTCCCATCTTAGTGAGAATTGTTTTTTGAACTAAACAAATCGACAAGGTAAGAAAGTAAGAGTATGAACAAGATAAAAGCTATCTTATCGAGTTTTGAATGCTTTTGATTTGCTTTGGCTTTCTTCAAGAGTCTTATTTTAATGAGCAATCTGCGCAAAATAGATGAGTTATTGCACAATTTTTTTTTAAAGTTTCTGTAGTGGATCTCATGACCTGTTTTTTTTTTTCCTGTTTATAGTTTTAAATACACTGGAAGCTTAAAAAATTATTGTATTACCTGCACCTTCCTATAACCCATATAATGCACCAACAACTGTTTGTGGAAAAATTAACAGATTACCCGTGGGTTATCGGCCAGAAATTATGGTACCCCTGACCCTTTCACATGAATGAAGAATTGCAGCACCTTATATTTAAAACAAATAATTAAGAATGCTCAAAATCTCCTCCCTTAAATGTTTCAAAACAACTATTGTGTGATGGACAAATAAAACAACAATTTTAAAATTATTTTCTTCATCATGGTTCTCTTTAAATCCCAATTGTCATGCAAACAATAGAAGCTTTTTCTTCAATGCAACATGATACCATAGCAATGCTAGTGCAGACAAGTAGATGTCTGTAACTCTAAAAAGAAATTAGATCCTCCTTCTTTACAATCAATCAATTAACCCCTTGGAGTGACCATAACTGGCTTTAAATTTCTCCTTACATTGTCAGACTTGCATCAAACATTGAGGTCAGGAGAATAAAGGAAATGATCACCAACTAAAGAGGCTCTAAAAAGTTAATCAAATTCTCCTTGTTAGCACTTTTGGAAATGTATAGAGAAAGGTATGGAGAATATGCATACTGATGTTAGGGAATAAAGGGTTAAGGATGTTTCTGAGGAGCTACAGTGTTACCAAGATAAACTTTTGTGTCCAGAAAGGTACCACAACTCGATGAGAAATAACTAGGCCAATTTACAACATTGTTCAAAATGGTAGGTACGTTGAGAACGCTATTTTTTAATAAAGATTTAAGTGCGAAAATCCCAAGCTGAGTGATGATTGAAAACGTAAAAATATACCGTGAGAAAACAAACAACAATTGCACTACAAGAGATTTTTCACAATACGAAAAGTTATTTCCTTCCGTGTTTTTCCCATATCATAGATTAGAAATTATTTAGATAATTACTGTAAAATAAAATCGTGAGCTTCAGAAGAATTTAAATTTTAAACTGACCGTCGCCCAATTGCAAATGGCGTTGGATATCCTGGTAACAGTACTCAAAATAACGTTGTGTCAAAGAAATAGATGTAAGATCGATGTTTGGTAAATGACACGAAAAAATGATGCAGCAAAATGAAAATAGTGATATTTGCACGTGCTTAGAGCTTGGTACATGAGACAACAATATCATTTAACTTGGTGACGTGTAGTTTGGTCTAACTGAATATGAAACTAATCAGTGCAAAATTGATTGATAAATTGCAGGGAAGAACAGTGTAAACATGGAAGATTTCAGTTTAATCCTAAGGGGGAGATGATTACTCACCAATAAAGAACAGCGTCTAATGTAGTGATCACAGCCAGAAGACATATCGAAAGATTTTCTGCTTAGCCAAAATATTATCAATCGAGCTTACAATTGGACCAAGGAAATCGCCGGAACTGAACTGGAACTAGAATGCCAAAGTAAGACGAGATATTTTTCTCGCTGGGAGAACTGGGAGCTACTAAAGCCCGAGGTGTCGAAAATGGCTGCCTCTGGCAGTCAAAGCTTGTCTGCCGGCTCGACTACGAGAGCGTTTGCACAAAAACTAAACAAGTAAGTAACTTTCCTTTGAGTAAAGTTGTGTAATTTGTGCATTTTGGTGTGATAAGTGTTCATATTTTATTCCAGATTTCGGCGTAATGGATCGGCGACTTTCAGCACTCAATCAAGTACAAGGTCACAATCGTCCACTTCGAGTTCCTTTATTCATCTTGCGGCCGGAACGGTTAGTTAACTGCTCAAATTATACTCTTGATCCTTTCATAATTGAAATATCACTATAGATTAAGCATCACGATTGTCCATGGAGCTCCCAAATACGGCGTTAACAGGCATCGGATAACGTGCTTGTCATGTGAAGGAAACTATGTACTTCGATCGCACCAGCTATTTTTAATCCGTTTATAGAAATTCCGATGGTGAATTCTGGAAAGTACTGGAGAAGATAAAAAACAACTTTATTCGGTGTTGGCTAAAATAGTCATGGAGAGCTGCATATGAGGCCGCACATCGATCTGTCAAATGTACAATTTCAATTTTTTTTTAGTAATCAACTGGATGTTTAGTCGAATCGAAGTGATTTGGCAGTATGCATGTAGATCTCCTTGATTTTCGATTTTTATTTAGTGCTGATGCCATAAGTCAGGCTGGTTTCAAAGTTTTTGTGAAATGGACGTAAATGCAACTCAACAACCGATTCAAATCATCATAATTCTTTATGGGAAGTTTGGGGACTAAACTTGCTTAAGTTTCAGCAGAGTGGCTCTAGTAATATTTCAGTTATCTTCAAGCTTCCAAAATGTATCAGGACCACCCAAGTACATCCTTCATCACTGATGTAGCTTAGTTCAGAAGTCATAAATTAAACTGTACTGTAATTGCTTAGGCTTATTTATTTCTCACAAAATGGTTATAACAAACTAGACAGACACCACCCACAGGGGGTGGGGCAACTATTTTTGGCTCCCAGTCCTTAGAGGCTGATACCTTAAATGCTTTGTTAAGCCTCAAAAATCCCATCGCTGAGAATTCTCTAACCTATTAATACTACTGTCCACTTGTTCTATCCTTTGACTCTTTTAAGTGATTAGCACCAAATTTCTCCCCACAATAGGAATCAATCTTCAACTCTTTACACCCTAACATCAGTCTTTATATTCTCCATACTGTTCTCTGTACATTTACTAAGGTGCTGGCAAGGAGAATTTGTTTAACAATCAAGAAATTCTTTAGTTTGTGATCATTTCCTTATCCTCATTTCCTTGATGTTTGATTCAGAGATGTGATTGTAGGGAGAAATTAGATGCTAGTCACTCTGATAAGAGCACAGTCAAGAAATTTTTAGTATCTGAGTCATAACATCAGTATTCATATTCTCCATACTGTTCTCTGTACATTAACTAAGGTGCTAACAAGGAGAATTTGTCTAACAATCAAGAGTTTCTTTAGTTGGTGATCATGTCCTTTATTCTCATGACCTCAATATGTGATTCAGTGGTGATATGGTTAGGAGAAGTAAGATGCTGATCACTCTTAGAGTTTAAAGGGTTAAAGTAACAAGAATAAAGGAGATGTACCAGTTAGATGTACCAAATAATCCTTGAAGAAATGTTTTTATGTGGGATACAGTCCTAAATATCTTAAAACTAGATTCTGTGTTTCTCTGCAACTGTTTGGTACTAGATAGCAGAAGATGTCAGAATGTGGTAAAAACATTGGTGCCTAGTGTGTGCCTGGTATGTGCAGATGCATGTGCGGAAATGTAGAATCTATCAGTTAAATCCAGCAAAATAATGATTGAAAGTATGAAATGTTTCATCACTTCTTGTTATTCCAGACTCCTCTTAATGAAGTTGTGGAACCTCCTGACTTTGAAGATCTTTTGTTGCAAAATCAACCTTTCAATGAAAATGACCCAAAGAGTAAGATGCTCGAGTTCCCTGATGACGACATAGAAGTGACCACAATTCCAAGACAATGTCGCACTGTCAAGCCATGCTTTCCCAAGGATACTGGGTAATGGTATTGTTGTATGAAGTAGGTTAAGTCTGTACTCAAGCTGAGAGGCCTAACCAGTCTGAGCTTGTCCATCTTTCCTTAACATGAAGCAGTTATTAATGGTAATAGGACTGAGCGGAGTCCAATTCCATCTCTAATCATGAGAATGATTACAGTCAGAATTGGATGACATGAAGTCCTGTTACCAATTAATCAAAACTATAACAATTTGAGAAAGAAATTAGACATTGGAATACAAGATTTCATTTAAAAAAAAAAACAAACAATGGGTAACTTGGCAAAGTGTGAGATAACAGCATGCTCACATGACGCGTTCTGTCCACTTACAATGTCCTAATATACTGTCTAATAGCAAGCATGATGCACACACTGTCCTATTAGTGCTCAAATCAGGCTGGTGATAACCAATCACATTTGAGAATTTTGTTATAGTTTTGATTAGGAGTATTACAGTAACCATTCCCCCCCTAGATTGGATGCCATTCAAATGTAAGGGTATCCCCTATAATTTCTGTGCCCATTTAAAGTCCTGGATGGAGAGAAGTTCTTTGAGAGTAAACTGTCTGGCCAAAAAACTTAACAAAAATGACCCAGGGGAGGTCTTGAACCTGGATGTCTGGACCAGAAGTCTATGCATCAACGGTAATCTTGGGTAGCCTTCTCCTCACAGATGGAGCCAATATTTGCTACTTTCAAGACATTCTGACCTATGACACCAGATCAATGTCAGTATCTGAGAAACTATGCACCTACCCCTCCCCTGGTTCAACAACAGTCAACTGATAACAAGTTGGGGTTAATGTTGGGTTATGGGAGGGGTAGGTGGGTAATTGCTTGGATACTGACATTAATCCTTGACACCTATAGTGTACATGTACATTGTATTAGCTAGTGTTTGAGCACCTGTTTTGGGATAAATACTTTGATAAATAAAAGTGTAATTATAATGTTGTATTTAACAATTATTGACCAAGATGGAAGTAAATAGCGGTGAATATTTACCTACATGTGATGAGGCAAGGTAAATAAGCACCACTTTCATCGACACTGAGGTGTATAATTGTTTTAGTATATACTACACAGATACCAAAACATTACTTTTAATTATTCTTTCAATACATTAAAAAAGATCGGAAATTAAACTGTTGATGCACAATTTTGTTTCTTTGGCTGCTTGAAAGTGAACATTACTTGCTATACAATTTCCTGATTTAGTATATCAGTGTGCGCGAACAGCATTATTCACTTGTGTGCTATATACTAATCATTATTATAATCAAACAAATGATCTGAAATATATAAAATGGATATTAAAATTCACAATATCTCATTCATACTGTCACTTACAACACAACGTCTCTCTCTTTCCTCTGCAGTGCTGAGAACAATCCACTACTAAAAGACTGCATTCATTGTTACACTTCAGATTGGGCGATAGTTAATCGAAGGTAAGATGTGTGTGCATTCTTTTCTTTGTTTTGAAACAAGTCTTGGTTCAAAATAATTTGAAACTAAGTGTGTGTTGACTTTTACACATACTTCTAGATTTACAAGCTAATATTGAACCCTTTAACTCCCATGAGTGGCCAAGACAGAATTTCTCCTTACAATATCAATACAATAGCAACTAGATAAGTGATGAGAATAAAGAAAAATATCAATTTGGGGATAATTAGTTGATAATAATAAGATAATTGTTTGGTTGACAGCAAGGAGACTGACAAATTTGATCTGGGAGTTGGAATAGTGGGGGATATTTACCCAGCTCCAAAGCAGCTCAGTAAATTTTAATCACTCTCAAAGACACTGAGGTGAATAACCATACAGATACCAAAATATTAATGTATTTGGAAAATTTCAAAAATTAGTTTAAAATGGTTGGAAATTAAACTCTTTTTGTCTCTTTGGCTGCTTGGAGGCTTATAGTACTTGCTATTCACCTTTGAACTTGTCCAGCCAATTGGCACATTTCAGATCAAAACTTGGTGTTCTGTTTAAAACAGGTATCAGTTCCGTTGTTCTGATGAAGGAAGACCAGATTCAAGGCGTAGAATAGCACGAACATCCAGCTTTGTGAGAACACTTCCTACCCAGCTTTATGAAATTGATGAAAAAGGAAAACTTGCAGATCAGGTAATAGAATTTAGTGGTATTTGTTTGTGCAAATTAAAAGAACATGGTCTGAATGTCACTGTGTAGAATGTTAGTTTTGTCCTGGGAGACAATTAAATGCAGAGAGCTGGAAATGTTAAATTAACAATCTTTGCTTGTTTCTTTCATATTATAGGGAAAGAATGAAGGACAGCAAAAAGTATCACAGCAATCAGGCAAAGGACAGGATGAGTTACCTCGAGGTAGCTGGGCATCAAGGTTAGTTTGTGTATACTATTTTCATTTGAGGTGTTTTGAATTGAGTCTCAAAGACTAGGAGTGACCTTAAGCAGTCATGACAGCAATGCAAAGGAAACCATCAATCTTTAAAAAAGAATTAATTTAGAATTTTGCAAGTGGTAGATGTGTTTGTCATCTTTTAATGTGGCACACCTCAACTTCAGCATGACACAGGAGTGCAGTGTTGAATTCCAAATGAAAACTTAACTAATTCACTGTGTAGGTTTCTATTTTCAGACCCCAAAAATTTTGATGATTTCATATTCATTTGCTGTTTTGCAGAGGACAGCCTAGAAATGTTTAAGGTTTCAAAAGCCATGGTTCTGTCTATTACTTATAGATCTTTTTTTAACACTTCTTGCCATCACGGTCTTGGTTTGATTGTTAGGTCACCAAAACCAAAGAATCACAAGAGCCAATAAACAAGCTCTATTTTATTTCAAATGATGGCATCCACAGTCAAATTTTTTGTGCATTTGAAAAAGGCTTTTAAACAGCTGGGTTAATAATTAATTTTGGAATCTAAAACCTGGTAAGATGTAAAATTTCTGGTTTCACCTTTTATGGCAGGGATATAAACTACATTAGGTTTAGGAGTATAGTATATCACATTTACTTGCATAAGTACCCCTGAGTAAGTCCCCCCCCTTCAAATGAGCAGAGCATTTGGAACAGAAAAGTTAATATGTGCTACCCCCTGATAAGTGCCAAGGTCCTTCAGAAGCTGCTACATGTATGCTTCATACTTGGTTATATTTCTTGAGAGATTTGGATGCAACTCTTTTCAAATGCACAAACTAAATCACAAAGAAGGGTAGTCCCCTAAGCTAGAGCTTATGGACATCAGATCAGGAAGGGTCAATGCAAAGGAGGTTGATTGAAGACTCTGCTGGAAATGGAATCGAGAAGTGACAGACAAGCAAATGGTGACGATCAAAATTGAAGACCCTTCTGTATGTTATACAATTTTTGCACCCTGAGAAAATATACTGTTGAATTAAAAAGAACATTTTTTCATTGCATTCAACTTTTGATGGCCATCCTTATATAAGTTCTGCCCTTGAATAAGCTCTACTCTTGAGGTACAAACAGTTGAATAGAGCTGTAAGAGCTGTCAGAGCTGTCAGGTGGTACTTATTTGGTGAATAAATATGGTTCATCTCTTTTGTCAGACCAACATATTTCTTCTTAAAGAGTAGGGTATGAGGCTCTTAGTTTTTTTGGTCTGGTCTCAATCTGTGCCACATTTTAAATTGCATAATATTGACCAACAGCAAAACATACTAACAAAATGACTTGAAAAATTGTATAATTGTGGGTTTTTTTTTTACAGCATATTTGACTTGCAGATGAGTAATCCTGATCCACTTCTGCCTTCTCTTCTCGAACGCACTCCAGCTGATGAGTTGGACTTGGCTAATCAAGAAGAACGTCAACTTCGCAGGATGCACTCCTTATTTTCTATTTATCCTATTCAGCAGGTATCAAGAGAAAATATGATCATTGCTTCTAATAGTCATTGGCTTAGTTGTAAAAGGGAGAATATTAAGAAAACTGACAATGTTCATTGTAGAGGTCAACTTAGAGCCTTAGAAACAGAAAAAATTCTGGTTCCTCATGGGGTCTCAGAATTTTTTTCTATGTCCCGCGCTTATGAAAAGATGAAAAACGTCTTTATATCTTTACTGAGCTCAAAATTATCATCTATTTTATTCTATTTACAGATGAAAAATATGTTTCATTAAAAAAAAGACAACTGTATTCAGTGAGTGATACAGACATACTTGGAGTAAAAGAACTAATACAGAATGCACTTTCTTTAAGTTTACACATGGGATCTTCAATTTTGGCTTGTGCTCTCCTAACATCTCCCATAGGTGATACATGTCCATGTAAGACAGTGAAACTAGTAGAAAGTGCTTCTTATTGTGTGTTAAAACTACTCACAACAGTCCCTAATCCAAATTGAGAATTGTGATTTGCTTTTTTTTCAAAAAACAGGAAGTTCATTTTCAATAATAATAAAAATAAACAAAGGAGAAAATTATGAGTTTCTTGCAATAACCTTTCAGGATATTTGGTAGTGAAACCATTCTTGGTAAATTGTGCTTATTTCTTGAATGTCACTCAAAAACGGCAGTAGCTTACCCAGAAATAAAATGCTCAAGTACTGTATATCCTTGTTATTATTTTTCAAATGATTATCAAAAAATGCTCAATTTTTTCACTATAAAGATAATTATCTGTTATCACTTGGAAAGTTTTTCTGCAGGCTCAACCACAACTGTTTAACATTAATTTTAAGCTCTCGTTTGTCAATTTTGGTCAACTGTTTCTCGGTTTTAGCTATCTGTTTTTGGACTTAGGTCAACTTTTTTTTTGGTCAAATTTTTTTCTATCCGTTTAAGTGGTTATGGAAACTGTTTAAATGCTTGAGTTAGCCATTTAGTATCCATTTAAAACTGTTTTTTAGACTGTTTAACAGAAAAGCATTAGTGTCTGTTATCCCATGGAGGGTTACATTTTATTTGGCTCATTATTGAAAAATTCCTTTTTCACCCATAAAAGTTTTTTTTTTGTAATACTTGCTACTTTACCCTGTTTTTAATTTCCTTTTTTTCTTAGGAAGAAGGAATAGAAAAGAGGATTCCTGCCACCATCCCTCAAGAGCATTTTGGACAAAGAATTCTGATTAAATGTCTTCAACTAAAGTAAGTGTATAGAAGCCATACTGAAGCATAACTTCACTCAACTCTTTAAGGGCTTTACAATTATTGTGAATTTTATTCCAGAAAGTCTCAGAAATTGAATTAACATATCATTGCACTTTTGCTAAAGATTTGAAACACATGACTTCCTTTGTATTTTTGTTTAATCTTTTGCCTAGCAACACTTTTTTTTCTGAAGGCATTTTGAAGTGATATTAGCAATTTTTATATTTTGATAAATTTGTTATGCCACATTGATATTTTTTTATTGGCTGGTCAACTTGAAACAAAAACAATCAGCTTTGAAATAGGAGGTTATATTTGAAACTTGTTTATTTTTCAGGCTTGATTTAGAGGTGGAGCCAATATTTGCATCAATGGCTCTCTATGACGGAAGAGTCAAGAAAAAGGTGTGGTTCTTACTTAGAGTAGTAATTATAAGATTTATTATTTGAATCTTGGAGAAGATTTTAGATTTCAAGTACTTGGAAAAGACTAAAGATGAAAGATGGTTAAATTTAACCCCCTCTTGCCTTGGAGGTGGGAGGGGGGGGAAGGGGGAATCCTGATTCTGTCATGGTCTAGAAACTGGGGTAGGATGTAAGTTGCAACTTTACCTTTTCCTGTCAGGCCTGAGTCTGGAATTGGGCCAAGTGACCTTTCTAGCTGGAGCTTATCTCTGTCAGTTTCTGTCATATGGAACAACTGGGAGTTTTCCTACTTCCTCTGGATGGGATGCATAGGTCTATCCCAAGTTACCCCAAGGCATTACCTTTTGTCAGCTTTGCCTGACAGCTTGTTGGTACCCATTTATACTCACTGATACCCTTGTATACTCTGGTTGGAGAGAGGTATCATGATAGTAAAGTGTCTTGTTCAAGAACAAAGACCCAGCTAAGTATGAAGCCCATGCAGAGTCCAGTACACCATCTGTTGAGCCTCTTTGTCTCAACATGCCTTTCCTCTTAAAAGTATGAAAAATAGTTTAACTTTTGTTTATTTTACTACATGTAGATCATTCATGACTGAAACAAGCTTTCTAACCATATATAACCCTTTGTTTATTTTTGACAGATTTCTGAGAATTTTTACTTTGACATGAACAGTGAATGGTGCAAGAAGCTAGTGGAGGAGCAGAACCCTCGTGTGGATATTTCCACTCTCAGTCGTTCAGCAGTATTTTCCATTACCTACCCCTCCACTGATGTGTTCCTTGTCATCAAGCTTGAAAAAGTTCTACAACAGGGTGACATTAGTGAATGTGCAGAGCCGTATATGAAAGACACAGAAAACCCTAAGGTCAGTTTTGGCAAGCTGATCAAGACAGAATTTCTCCTTACAATATCAAGCAGACAAGTGATGGGAATAAAGAAATATATCAGTGAAGGGATTATAAGTAGATCCAATACTAAATTCTTTAAACTAACATCTTAAGAACTGTATGGCAGACAGTAAGGAGAATTACCAATAAGATCTTGGGTGTTAAAGGGTTAACAGAAATTTACAGCCTATTGTTGAAAGTTAATTTAGGATTACATTTTGTCTTGTTTTTACATGGTTTTGGAAAACCGGTGATGTCCAGGTTGCAATGCATACATGTATGTCTTCTTAATCAAGGTCAGGGTCTGGGAGTCCAATTTATTTCCCACTCTGGAAACTGTGAATAAGAAGAGTCACCTCGCAGAGTGTCTCCTGCTAAATTCCCATTCCCATTCTCATCCTCCCTTGTTTGGTATTGAAAAATGTGGTTTGAGTTATAGAGGGTAAAAATTGCATAAGAAATGATCAGAAGGGAAATTAAACTATTGTGAGCTTTCAGTGTAGGGTTGGAGATTGCAAGGTTTCTCTGAGTTAGCAGGAATTTACTTTGTTTTAAATCAGACCAGACTTGTTCATGTGTGCTCTCCTGCATTTGAGGCCAGTTTATTAAATGTATTTCCAACAAAAAATAATTTTGTTCCCTCTCAACATTTTCCATTTTTTTTTTTTTTTCAAACCAAGCATAGAGAAAAAATGCAATCAGCTGCTGTGTTAAACTGTGAGGGGCTTGGCAACTATTGCATGCCTTTTGCATCTTTCTTTGATAGTCTTCCATTTTTCCATATTTTTTCCAAATCCAGCATAAAGACAAAATGCGAACAGCTGCTGTGTTAAACTGTGAGAGGCTTGGCAAGTATCGCATGCCTTTTGCGTGGACTGCAATCCATCTTATAGACATCATAAGTGGAAACAAAGATGGCATTGATCCATTGGCAGCAACACCAACACCTGCATCACAAGAAAAAGACACTTCTTCGGCTGGGACTTCTGTGCGCAGGGTAATTAATGTCATAAAGAAAAAAATTACTTGACTGGTTTTCTCAGAAATGTTATTCTTACTAATATATACAACTTCCTATGAACAAGTGATTTCTTAATGTACATGAAAGAATTAAAAGCTTCTGATTGGCTGAAAACAAGTGCATTTTTCGTGTAACACAAGTGCAAAGTTACAACACAGGTAGAAATTACAAATAGTGTGTGTGCACTGTCAAAATATTGTCTGTCTTGACTTTCTGTGATACAATTATTTATATAAATTATTAATAATTTTTTTAAATAAGTAATAACTTGATTTTGTGTGCAATTTGGAGTAAATAAGCACTTGTAAATTTTTTAAAGGCTACAAATTGCCCTTGTCCTTTGGTTGTCTTGAAAAATTTAATCATGCTTCTTTTCACCCAAGTGCTCTTGAGCTCATGTTGTTACATTCATTGATATTCTGCAATTGGACAATGTAGGTAAAACAAAATTCACGATCATGGTAAAAAAAATTTAATGTATAAAAAACAAAGATGGCATGAACTTTGTTTGTTAGTGGGGAAAAAATCTTGAAATCTGTTTCCAAAAGTGTGGCTTAACTCTGTAAAAAGTTCTCTCTTAGTGAGTGATTCATTTTCTTTTGGCAGCAGCTATCTGGAATGGCAGAAACACCACCTGTTGTGCCAAGAGGCAGCCGACGGAAGGACAGTGAAAGTGCCTCCAGCAGAAGTTCAGTGATTGAGGCACGCAAGTCGATACATCTGGCAGATATCAGTGAATTTGAAGTTACTCCTGACTTGACAAACTTCAGGCCTGTTACACTTACTGTCAGTAGCTTTTTTAAACAGGTAACTGTAGCAACTAATTCTTAACACTAATCAAGTGTACACCCTACCATTAGTACGCATATTCTCCATACTGTTTCCAATATTTTTCCTAAGGTGCTGACTAGGAGAACTTGTTTAAGCACAAAGAGCATCTTTAGTTGGTGATCATTTCCTTTATTCTCCTTACCTTAATGTTTGATTCAGGGGTGATATTGTAAGGAGAAATTAGATCCTAGTCTTCCAGAGGTTGATGGGTTAAAATAATAGCTCTCATGCTGTTTTTCAAATTGTCTGTCAAGTTGTGTTGAAAAGGAAAAGATTACCTGGCAATTTATAATTTACTTAATGGCTTCTTTTCACTTAGTTTTGGGGAAGAATATGTCAGTGTTTTGAATTGTAATGTCAGAGCTGTCAGAAAGAGCCAGTAGCTGGTCAAATTGGCTAGCAGGTTGGCCATCTTTAGCCGGCCACTTTGGCCTCATTTTATTATAACTACTTCTGAAAACTTGTACAATTATTTCATTTCAAAATACCATGAAAAAAAATTGTACAGCAGCCATTCCCGAGGTTTAAATGGGATTTAAATCACAGTTTACTGGTAACAGGTTCAAATTAGTGAATCAATTCTATTTATTCAGAATTTGATAAAAGGTTTGTGCAAAAATTCTAAGGATGTATGCATGGGACATTTTAGGGAAATAGTTTCCAGTCTAATCTGCATAATAGGATAAAATTACAAGGCATTCTTTATGTGATACTTAACATAACTATGACAGTTTTTAGGAATTATGTTTATAAATGATTTGGGAATATTATGTTTTGATCTTGATCAGGAATCTGATAAACTAAAAGATGATGACTTGTATAAATTCTTGGCTGACCTCAAGAGACCCTCTTCAGTATTAAAGCGTCTGAAGTGCATACCAGGTAATGCTGTTGAAGTGATGTGGCTTTCTATACTCGTAGGGGTTTCAGAAAAAAGCCAGTGTCATTACTTGCAGTCTACTGCTGCCTACAAGGTCTCTCATAATGTGAATGTCTTTGAATCTTTTGAAATGTCTTTGGAACTTTTCAGGCATCTCTGGATATGATGGGGTCTTTGATGCTCTGATTTAAAGATAGTTTGCAGGTATATTAAAGGTGGCTGACAATTTATTTTTATTTTTTCTCCAAAGGAACCTTGAAGCTTGACATCTCCCCACCTGGGGACAAACCACCATACTGCTTAACTTCTGAGTTACATCAGGTATTGTTATTACCTGTACACTGATTTAACTCCCAAGATCTGATTGTTGATTCTCCCTTCTAGCTGCTACACATTTCCATGCAAATTAGTGATGAGAAGTTGGTGTTAGATTAAGATAACAACTTTACCTGATAAGTTTGAGTATTCTCATTACTTTTTTACTGTACAAGGTAAGGATATTAAAGGGAGAAGTTACATGTTAATCACTGTTGGGTATTAAAGCATTAAAAGTACAGGATCTCATTGGTTACTTCAGGGTCATATGTGTCCCAACAATGAAACTGTTTCTGGTCAAAAGTCCACGAGCAGGCAAAGTTGCAAATATATGACATCAGAAGGTAACAAAACTGTCACACCCAAATGTTAACTGATGATCACAATTGGGTTTGAAAAGATTTGGATTGGAGGTGGCTTGAAAGTTGGCCTGGCCCTGGGAAACATTGAGATCTTTGGGAAGCAAAGTCAACTGTTTCCTGTCTACATTTTCTAAATTCTTCCACTCATTTTAACCTAATTTCAAGTAGACAAGTATTGAAAACAAGGAAAACTTTCATTCAGTCAATTGACTATTTGACAGGAGGCATCATTTAAGGGAGGCAGTTTGAATGAGGTTTATTACATCAGTTAGTATGTGTAGGATAAGTCAGTTTTGCAGGACTTATTCACTGTATGGCTCATAAAATTTGAAGGTTTGTTTGAAATGAAATCTTCTCCTCTGTTTGAGCTCAGAGATTTGCTAACCTAGTTTCTTTGGTTTGTACTGTACCAGCCTGAGTAAGTTATTGAACCTTGTTTTTTTCTGCCTGGATTTATGGCCTGTGCATTTCACGCTTGGGTGATAAATCTGAATGGGAAAAAATTGGTCTGTTACTTACAGTATGGACCCCAAACTCAGCTAGTAAGAGGGTTGTACTTATTCAGTCTTGTTAGAACACCAAATTCTCTTGTTTTTCAGGTACATCCATATCCAGATGGGAAAGCAAGACCAACCAAAGAGATAGAGGAGTTTGCAC